AAGTCAAAATTCAAGGAGATCAACTGATAAATGATCGAGTTTTCTTAATTGGATGGTAATGATCAAATGCAATCCTTTTGGATAGAAAAAGTTTTTATTGAAATTACTTAATTGCAATCGAGTTTTCCATTTTTAAAAGACTCACAAGAACAAATTATTTTTATGTCGTTGAATCTTTTGAATCTTTGAAACTTATGTGATTCTACTATGATGTGTGCTTTTGTACTTCAACTTTGGATACATACCTTCATAGAAGATTTTAAAAATGTCAAACCGAATAGGAACTTAACAACACTATCAGTAGAAATAAGGTTTGACTACATCTAGACATGATACTGAAGGATCAAAATTTTATCATGATATATAATAGAAACATGTGCTAATACTTGATGATGACTAAAGTTTATACAACTACTAAAATGCAACAGTAAATTTTTATCTAGCTTTGAGTTTAAGACTTAACACTTGAGTTTGCAAACAACAAAAGGGATAACAAATCGCCTCAATATGGATAATTGTTTAATATCAATGTAAGTTTACCTATCCCAGTCAATTCTTTCAAGATTATTGAATTGAGTAGAATGATACCTACGAATAGTCAAATGTATAAAATAAAATGTGAGCTTAACTTTATTTTATTTTTTCAATAAAAAAAAAGAAGCCTTGAAACAAAATATGTGTATGTCTTTCAAACAATAGATTTACCTTTCTTGGTGGTAAAAAGGAACAGCTCAGTTGCAACAACACCACCAACAATTTTTCAAGTTATGATTTTTAAATCTTCCTTTGCAAGATGATGAAAGGACGGCGCTTCAAATGCCTGACATCATTATAAAATGTGAAAATTAAAAATAATGAAATAAACATTTCAAGAATATAAATGAAATCCTCAGGTGAATTTATTTATTGACTACCAATTTTTTGTTGATATCCCGTGTTAGAATCCAAAGTGCAACTCCAGTCTTTAGATGTTGTCCCTTGTTTTCGATTTTGAAAGCAAGAACAAACTAAATTTCTATGTTTACTCATTCATTGAAGAAGATAGGGCTAAAACAATCCAATTTAAGATTTTCTATAAATGTATAAATGAAGAATTTCCTTATATACAACATTTTTAGTACATGTGATGTGTTGCTTGATGCGTTAAGTGAAACTTTGAGTGATTTGCTTGTTTTATCTCTTGACAAAGCTACATAAAGTCGGCCACGATAAAAAACAGGTTCTGGAAGATAGAAGCCAACAAAATGTTTGTCCTTGTGCTTTGTTTATTGTCATTGCAAAGCATGATCTAATTGTAAATTGAGTTCTTTTAAATGGAATTGAAGATTTGTCACTTTCAAGTGGCGTAAAAGGGATTCTTGGTAAGAAAACATGTTTTCCAAAATATTCTCCAGACGTAATTTCGGCAACAATTACATTCTTCTGAAATTTTCGACAAGTCAATCGTGTCCCATTGCATAATCCTTCAGAAGAGTTGATATTCCGTAATAACATTACAAGACAATTTAATTTGATGTTCAATTCATGCGGTGAAATACCATTTGAAGTCAAACTATTGAGTGAATCTTCTTACAAGTTCTGTTCTGATTTGTCAATTGCTTCATCAAAACTATAATACGTAAAAATTTCTCCAGGAATTTGTTCTAATAATGTTTTATTGATAAGATCAACACATTCATTTCTCTAAGCGTAAGAATAGCTCAATTTGCCATCATGTGTAAATTGTTAGCGTGAGCTTCTATATTTGGAAAGATATGATGTATCAAACATTTTAAAGATGTTATCTCGTCCTTGAATGGTACAATTATACTATTTGGGAGCTCGATACACTTACAACTATGTTGTTCCTCTGTTCCATTTCCAATTCTTAACAAATAATCACAGAAAGTAGGATCAAACTTCGCCCTCATATTCTCAATTAATGGTAGATGTATAAGTGAAGGCCATAATTCAGAGAAGACTAAGCTAGCTTTCATTATGTCTTCTTTTTTCCCTCTTCGTACCACCGGGAAAACTTGTCGAAAATCTCCTCTGAGAACTATCACTTTTCCACCAAAAGGTAAATTACAATCAGTAATATCTCTTAACATTTTATCTGCAGCTTCTATATCACAACGATTGACCATGGGCGCCTCATCCCAAATGATTAATTTTGACATTTTCAACAAAGTTCCTAAAGCTGATTGTTTGCTAACGGAGCAGCTTACATCACGAACTATTTCTAAAGGAATTTTAAACCTAGAATGAGCAGTTCGACCTCCAGATAAGAGAAATGCAGATACTTCAGAAGATGCAGTTGCTAAAACAATTGAATTTTGAGACCTCACAGCAGCTAATAATGCTTTATACAAAAATGTTTTGTATGTTCCTCCTGGACCATCAATGAAGAAGGCACCACTTAATCCTGATGTTATTTTTTCCATTATCGTATCGTATGCAAATTGTTGTTTGTTATTTAACTTTGTTGCACAAGTATTACCTCCTTCAATATCCAAATTTGTTGTCTCATCTTCAACCATTCTTCTCAATCTATCATTCTCGTTCATACTTACATTGTATGGTACCATTTGATAATCATTTATATTTTTACCTGAGGATTCTAAGATATAACTGATATCTTCTAGAGCTCGTACTTCAACAACTTTTGAAGGTATATTTTTATGTACACAATCATCAATCATATAACATTTGAATTTATTCCATAAAAGCTTCGGATTATAAGGGTTGCAAAGCATAAGAAGTGTAGCAAAGAAACGTCTTAAAGAAATAGGTATTTCAAAAGCAATAGATTCAGATAGACATTCTTCACAATAATTGTTTCCGCTTAACAAACCGTGCAAAAGTGTTGCTTCTCGATAGGTAGGAACAATGGCTCCATTTGCAGTTCATAAATCATGAAATGATGTTAGCCCTCTAATATGGTTTATAAGAACACGAAGAAAATATCGTTCTCCTTCAGATGTATTTACTGTAACAATTCGTCCTATAACATCATTTTTTTTGCAAGTCCAGATTTTCTTATTTGTATTCCAAACAAAATGTGTTGGAAAATCTCGATATAAATGTGTACGAGCAAACTCATTCGCTTCATTCGTTCGAAAGAATTCTGTCAACATTGTTCATTTCGTATTTTCGTTCTCAACAATAGTAGACAAATCAATTTCATCGTCGTATGTAACTTGTTGATGATTTTCAACATGAAGCTGTAAAGAATAGACCGTTGGATAAATTTCAACTAGATTGAATGAAAAAATTCTCCACATAGCTTCAGGTGGAAATATCCATTTAGCAAATTGATAAACAGAAATTTCATCTATTTCTTTGTCCATTTCATTTGTATGAACTGAAAAATTAATACAATCATGTCATTTATACACATATTTGTACATGTATTTCACAGTTTTAATAGAATAACATATTTCAACATTAATATGACAATCAAAATTTGCACTTAAATAGGGGTTGTATGGTACGACCCATCGATTGTCTAACATATGACCTCTAATTTGAATAGAAATACCATTATTACAACGTTTATACAATGGATATGAGTTCTGACCAAATATAGTTCTATCACAATAATTCCTAGGATACTTATTTTTACAATTGTTGTTTGCCTCCATGCATATATTTTTCGGATTAAAGTTTCCACAAGGACCATGCATATTATGTTTAACAATAATGGAATGAAGATGAGGATATTTATTTTTGTCAGGAATTTCACAGCAAACTATTCTATCAACCTCTTCAGCATAAGAAATTTTATGTCCAGAATAAAAAATTAATAACAAATGAGTATTAGGAAGGCCTCTTTTCTGAAATTCAATAACATATATGTGTGCAACAACTGGGCCTAAAATACATGCCTTGCATAAATCATGTTTTAACTCTTCTAATTTTGCTCTAAATATACGCACAATTAAATCTGGTCGATTTTGAATTTCATCATTGTTACATAGTTCCTGCTTAATCTCTGGCCAATTTGGATTGCATGTTATAGTCAAAAATATATCTGATTTTTCATAACGTTGTACAATAGTTATTCCATCCATATCTTCTTAACATGTCATGAGGACCACGAGTGAAAGATTGTGGTAAAACAAATTTTCGTCCTATTTTACACCCTCTCGTATCTCCATTTTGAACACTATCTATAATACCTTGATAAAGCTCAGCACGAATTTGCTTTTGGTTATTACGAAAATAATCTAATCTAACAGTTTCAATCTTAACATACATATCCACAGCATATTGTTGAAATAATCTACCAGCGTGAAGCAATACAGACTTACCAAAAGGCCTGATTTCTAATTTGTATGAATAATATTCTCGACATGAGACCTGAGTGCGTTTGTTCGCTCCATTCAATACTATATAACAAGAAGAAAAACAAACTTTAATACTCATTTACAACATTTATATCGCAAAAAATAAAAAGGTACGTTTACAAACCTTGATTCTCTTTTTCAATAAATTCAACTGTAGAAGTACTTGTGTTAGGGATAACATCAGATGTTGACATGTGTTGAGGTTGAGAACATGTGCTTCTGTATCTTTGAATGCCTTCATACCAACCGAATTCCCCATATGAAAAGAGTAATGGATATTGCAATGAATTATAACACCCATAATAATAATGGACTCTGTGTGAATCACCAGAATGTCCATATATTGTGATATCACAAACAAGCATTAGCATTTTCATCATTTTCAACCCATATAGCAGCTACTTGAGATTCTGTAGGAGTATTGAAAACTCTTTGATTAAGTCCAGGATCACATCGTATTTGTATTCGATGGTCATGCAAGTTAGTCATATTACTTAAAGACCTAAAAAATTTACTATATGAATTTGTTTTCAAAATTTCAATTAAAACAATCAAAGTAGGTTTAACAAAATTAGATGATATTTTCATACGATTTTGAACTTCATTATCTATATCGTAAAAATATAATTGCATATAAGAAGAAGTATTGTTATGAAACACAAGTTGATTTATTTAATGATGTACTTGTCCTTGAACCCTAAATGTGTAAATACCTTTATATGCTTTAAAGAGGTTTTTATCGTACTTCACACCAAATGAAGTAAAAGCAAAATGGTTATTATATCCCCTCACAATCTTCTTGAATTCTATGCAACTCAGTTCTTTAGAAGTAAATAAATTATATAGTTCACTTGGTAAGTCGGGCATTAAAAGCTTGATTTTTCCGTCAGCACAACAAATTCTATAAAATTTACGGGCATTACAATGCTTACAATAGATGGGTGTTGACAATACATAAGCAGTAGATGACACGTTCAATCCATTAAGAGTTCTCTCTAATTCAAAATTAGAAATATTATGTATTGTTTTATTTGAAGTAGAAGCATTAGGATCATGATGTATTATAGATTCATGCAATTGGGCAATAGCAAAAGAATTATTTCCTAGAATCATATGCTCATTTATCCTTTTACGCTGATCAATACATCCAGATCTAAGTCTTTTTCGCCGATCTCTTTCTCTTTGACTTTGCTGTTGGCGAATGAAGGAGTTGTACGAGTCTTTCCCACTACGAGATCTAGTGTCAATGTAAACAAAAGCAGTGTCTTCATGAGCAGGTATTTCTGAAATATCCATCGCAGGAGTAGAAGAGACCATCGAATATTGAAATTCCAAGGAAAGCAGTACAAACTAAGAAATTGAGACAAAAACTATTAGAAAATTTGTTTGATATATATGCAGGAAGAGTAAACTATAGAGTACGAGAAATGAATTAAAAGAAAATTCCTTCAAAAAAAAAAAAAATTTAACATCAAACAAAAAATGATAGAAACAAATATTCAAGAAAGCAACATGATGCATTTAATAAAATAAACGAAGTAAATTACAGAGATGAACAAACATTTATATTTATACAAGTAAAACTACAACGAAAAAAGAAAAAAGAAAAAAAAACACTAAACACATGACAACAAGAGAGATTAAATTTGCGTATAAAATATGGAATCCAAAGGATTGCATTCCTTGGAAATTATATAACACGTGAAAAGTTCAAAAGAAGAAAACAAATATGAACATACCAGCTTAATGGGAACTTCTTTTTCATTTCGAATGTTTACACCTGCATGAGTAAATTAAAGAAATATAATTTTTTCAAAAAAAAAAAAAATAGAAATTACCTTAACTACACCAAAATAAGAATTAAATAAAATGGGTACGTAAATAAAATTCCCGGAATCAACCACTCCTTATTTTCTTTCGAAGCTTAAGCTTTCTACCCACAACATGATCCCATTGCAATTGATTCAATTAAATAACTCCCAAATTCTAACAATATCCCCACACAACACCTAAGTAAAAAAATTCAAATTCCATAGGTACTTCGAATAAAAAGACTTAGAATGCCATTGATTATGGACCGATAGTCACCACCAATCCCTTAAAAAGTATAAGCAAATTAAAATAAAAAATTACCACACTGACAAAACACAAGATTTGAAGCTAAAATGATGAGAAATCGACAGCATAAGAAATTATTTATAATTTGGAAAAAGAAATGAACCTAATGAGAACAAACAAACCTAAACTAAAATACTATAAAATCGACATACCTCAGTTATACTTCAGATCTAAAGCTGAAATAATAAGAAATCAGTACCTGAAAAAAATATCTTCGTGAAATATCTTCAGCATTACACTATGTTCTGCTGGAGTTCATTCGTCATTAATGAAAACAAAGAATAGTTTACTTTCATGGTGAAATAAAAATAGCAATTATGTTGATAGTGAAAAATGATAAGTAATATAAGCTATAACAAAATGAGTTACTATGGTTTTCAAGAGTCAAGTACTTGTAAACTGTAAACACAAGTTAAAAACTTGGAGCTATAGGAAGTTTGTAGAGCTAAACTTAGCAAGAATATGTGAATTATTCAGAAAAATCTATTTTATTTATAAATAAATAATGTATTTCTCTTCACTTTTTCTTCTCACCAGTATAGAATAGGCAACTACTTTTGAGTATACATTCAGCCTTTTATTGCTATTTGATGATCAGTGAAAATGGTTGGAGGCAAAATTTTCAAATTCAGAATAAGCAAAGAAGTTTCTTGAATTCAATTATCAGATTCTACAAAATCTTTACTTAATTTATACTTATATTTGTTCCGGTATATGATTTATATGCCACTCAACTATTATATTACGTACAAAGACCTATACAATAGGCAGTCCAAATGTAAACATGAATGAAAGAGAACAATAAATTGTGATTGTGAAAGTCTCTGTCTACTATTGACAGATTAATTAAGCAACTCCACAGCCCATCTATATTTATACTCCAAGCATCTCCACGGATGAGTTTCTATCATACAAACAATATATAAGAACCTGCTCCAGTTTAATCAAACCATAGTAACTTATCAAGTTCTTCTACGCGAGAATCCAAGTTCGAATGCTTCACAAAAATCCTATGATTGACCAAGAGAAAGTCTTATGCTAGACATTATATACTTCCACTTATCTTATTTAAGGTGTTTGCTACATAACTTTCTATTAAAAAAAAAAAAAAAAACAGTTAACCAGCAACATTACAATAAAATATGCATGAAATTAATTTTTTCCCTCTTTTCCCCTCTTTTATTTTGGAGAACTCTAGAAGATAGCGCAATTCTCTTTGTTAAAGCTTGTAAAATAAATTGCAGGGTTAACGGTAAAAATTAAGACGTGTGCTTAATCTGTTCTCTTACATAATGTTCACTTTGAAAAAAATTGTGCTTATCTTAACATTGATTTCTTTCTCGTTCCTCAAAACTCAAGACATGTTTTATGAAAGCCTCAAGTTAAATAATAGTAAGTAATTAGAAAAAGAACCATGAGGCCTTGATTACATATACAAAAGTCAAAGGCCATTGATTAAAATGATAAGAATTTGTTGGATATTGGTTAAATAAATCGAGAATTGAAAATCGATTAAAGTTCGTATCGACTTCGGCCAAACACTCAAAAGCTCGACTCAATCCGTTTAGGCAAAATTGTTTGCCACTTCACCGCTTCGGGGCGCACAAACGGGGATCGACCTGCATGTATTGAAGGGTATATTTGGCATTTCGAAAACCAATATTGGATGAATGAGAAATTACGAAAAAGGACGAAAATCAGTGAATAGACACCTTTTCATAAAGGTGCATTATTTGGAAAGAGTGCATGGTTTGGCCTCAACCATTAGTGAATAGACACCTTTTCATAAAGGTGCATTGTTTGGAAAGGGTGCATGGTTTGGCCTCAACCATTTCGTCCACACCCTTTCATGGTCTATAAATAGGACCCTTTGGGTGTCCTATTCCACACAATTTGATATGCAAAACGTCTCTCATCCTCTCTTCTATCCAAAATCAAAATCATTTCATTTATTTTGATTTTCTTTCATTTCATTCTTGGAGTACATAAGCCTAAATTTGGTTCGTTGTACTTGTGTTTTGGAGTGCTACAAACACAAGTGTAGCCGTTGTATCTTGGGAGTCGATTGCCGAAATCCGTAGGCACCGTTGCGGGGCAAATTCGACTTAAGGACAAAGAGTTCAACTCTTGCCTCGGCTTTGTCACCATCATTATACTTATTTCGACGTCACAATTCACAAAATTCATCCAACAGAATTAAGAAGTAAAAAATGTAGGGGTCTCTTAATAAATGACATTAAGATGGTAAGCATAATTGAACTGTTGAAAGCCAAGAATATGGCCCACTGTTGAAGCCCAGAATTGTCTCTTCCTCTGTTCTCTTCTTCATCACCTAAACCCACCACTCCCTTTCAATCATCCCGTCCACCCAATCTCTCTCTACTTTCTTTCATGATTCGATGATTTTAAGGTTGTTCCTTTAGGCCCTTTCATTGGATTCTATAGTTTTTAAGTCATTTTTGCAAATGGTTCATTTCTTGTTTTAGTTCAAATTTTAGTCATTCTTGGAGGGTTTTTTGGTATTCTACAAATGTCTTCTTGGTTAAATGGAGGTGGAAGAGCAATTAGATTAGACCTTGAGATTATTAAATCCCCATCCTCTTCTTGGATTTCAAATTCATCATCTTCAACTTTAACTGAATCACGCAATTCCCCTATTGCCATCTCGACTCAAAAACCTCGAACACCTCCAAAAAGGCCTAATCAGACTTATAATGAAGCTGCAGCCATTTTTTCTGCAGCCTATCCCAAAATTTTCTCCACCAAACACCTCACAAAGCCTTATAAATTCACAAAACCACACAATAATTGTAACAATAGTTTTCCATATGAGCAGTCCGACTTGTTTATACCATTTTTTTTTTTTTTTGAAAACTCTAGAAAATGACACAATTCTCTTTCTTAAAGCTTGTAAAAGAAATTGCAATGCAGTAAGCTCTGTCGGAAAATTGGGTTTAATTAGTTGATTTGACCAACTTTTGACCAATTTATTTAGTGGGTCCCGTTAATCGGATATAAGATTTCTTTGGCTGAATGCATTCTACTCCATGAGTAGATTAATATAGTATATTTATTTTCTCAAAAATCAATTTAGGATGAATGAGTAATTAAGGCCAAAAGATGCTCACTTGATGTTGAAATAAAATAAGTGGAATATTGGAAAATGCCAATCCCACATAGGAAACTAGAAGAATATAAACTACCTTATATAGCTCAAGTTTGGGACTTGGGTTTGGGCCCCAAGGGGTACCAATAGTTTTTGAAGGGAAGATAACCTATATGCTAGTAGGATAAGCCGAAGCCAAAGCCCCCGCGCAAGCGTCGCCGCCGCCGTCTGTCCTACATGCTGGCTCGGCATGGTCACGGATCGTGGGTCATGGGCTCGGGCCAAGTTGACATATATTTTCTGGTAAAATAACATTAAATTATATTATTTTATTATTATAATAATAATATATTTTATGTTATTAATTTTTTCTTTCCTGAATTTTCTGTGTGTGACACGTGGTGCGGTGCTTTTGTGGTGGTTGACTGTCCAATGTGGCGGTTGACTGTTCAAACTGTTTGTGTCTTTTGGACATAACTTTTCGACAGTTGTGTCTGTTGGGACACAACCTTTCAACATCTATAAATAGACCGCCATACCCCAATTTTTATTCATTCCAAAATCAGAATTAATTTTTTACTCTCCCGAAATTATCCTTTGTCCCTGAATAATTTTTGCCTTTATAATTCAGTCCTCGAAAATTACTTTTCGTGCATTTCAGTCATCCAGTGTGTGTGGAGAGATCTAAACTTTACGAGTTCGTCGGGTCTTGAAATTTGGAGTACTACTATTACAAGACGAGGTCGTTGTATCTTGGGAAACGAGTGCTGCAATACCGTCAGTACCAGTGCGGGACATTATTGTTTTAAGGAGAAAGAGTCGAACTCTTATCTCGACCATTCAAAACCATCCAAACGTCGTTACTCTGCCCAAATATAAATTACGTTAACACTATTATTTGCGAATATTTTTCAACAATCTTAAAACGATAATTGCAAGTAGTAGTACGTCTGTTGTACCCCCTTGTACGTTTGTCGTACCCCCTAACAATGCTCACAGGGAGAAATCGAAAAAATTCACAGGAGTGGATTTTAAGAGATGGCAACAGAAAATGTTGTTATATCTCACGACTCTGAATGTAGTCAAAATCTTGAGAGAAGATACTCCAACTGTTGAGGAGAAGTAAACAGATTCTAAAAAATGAGCAGCATTCGATGCTTGGAGTCATAGTGACTTCTTGTGCAAAAATTACATTCTCAATTGCCTTGACAACACACTATACATCGTATACTGTTCCGTCAAAACGGCTAAATTACTATAGGAGTCATTGGAAAAGAAGTACAAAACAGAAGATGTCGGATTGAAGAAATTCGTTGTAGGAAAATTCCTGGACTTCAAAATGGTAGATTCTAAAACAGCAATGACTCAAGTCCAAGAGATACAACTTATCTTGCATGATATACATGCAGAAGGCATGAAGCTCTGTGAACCATTTCAGGTAACTGCAATTATCGAAAAATTACCACCAATGTGGAAAGATTTCAAGAACTACCTGAAGTATAAACACAAGGAAATGGAACTTGAAGATTTGATTGTTAAATTAAGAATTGAGGAAA